ATGCACAGCCTTGATAGAGCGATAACAAAGCAGCATACTAGGGACAATGATGGGAAGCATACAGTACTTGATCATATTTACTATATTAATGTTAGAGCTGTAAAAGTCATAAGACCTTTCCGCTGTCCATAATGTGAAGCATTTATAACTAGGTAATGATGAACTCATTCTTCTGGATGAGTATCCTATAGGCCTATGTAACAGATATGCTCGAGATAATACACCAAAGTCTATGCGTATCTACATAGAGTTAATAGTAGAGACCATCTCCACAACACATCCACCTACAACATCCTCTATACGAATGCCTCGTCCTCTACCAATACTAACATCACCAGGGACATACCACAGCAATCTCCTAGTTGTAGTATCATATCGTGCATTCCTATAAGGGTATTCTATCCTGGACTATGCTGGTAGTGGTATTACACTGTATGCATCTCATTCCTTTTCCCCAGCATCATCTTCATGATAAGTTGACCACGTTGTATTTCCAATATCTCTCGTACACACTGATGGAGGGTTGGCGTCAACCGCCTCGGCAAATGCTGCCTATGGTGTGACACCTAAGAGGAGGTAGACGGCACCTCCTAAGGTCCCACTATTACCATTCCTTTCTCGGGACCAACAGCTTTAACATTGCCTTTCCTGATAATGATTATGATTAGAATCATCATATTGAGGTTATGAATAGCCTACAAATGATTTATCTCTTTCAATAAGCTCTCCTTCTCTTCTTTCCATGTAGCCAACTTGTTTTCATAGACCTTCTTCTGTGCAAGCCATGCTACAGCTGACTGTAGATGTTGCTGCCGTTCAGCTTGCCATGTAGCAGCCTCTTCTGCATGACGTTGGCTCATCGATAATATATTATCCTCCGACACTTGTGTTTCCTGTCATTACTATTCAAGACTACTATACGACGATCTGCCACCCTACATCTTTATGAGAATGCTGTAGATTGACAGTAGCCCCCATCATCTGATGCCTCATGGATGATACTTCGGTCCGTAACTCATCCAAACCAACGCTAATGCCTGAGGGTGAGTACACTACTACATAGTGTATTAATAGCAGCATACCTAGGTTAGCACCACCAATGCCTCTGGCTAGCTCCGCTATCTTCTCTACGAATGTTGTATACCGTCTAGTCTGTGATGCCAATCTATGCTGTGCTCGCAAGAGGAGTACTCTATTACGGCATAATAGGGATACTAACCCTGATATGAGTAGATAGGCAATAGCGTACTGCCCAACTCCATCACTATGCGTAATTACGTTGTTCCTTCTCCTGACTTTTCTGTGCTTTCTCTGCTAATGAGGATAACTCCTCGATCTGAGTATGCAATGCAGATGCCTCAGCAAGGTGAGTAGCCAAGTCCTGTGTGACCCTTTGGAGATCGGCCTATTAGGCATGGTAGACCCCCCGAGCCTCCCAAAGCCGTAGTACTACTTCCAACATCTCCACCTCATAACTCTTATCCCTCTCCTTCCTGTAGGACTCCTCTAGTTTCTGCTTGAGATGTCTGTTATGATCCTCCGACTCGGATAGTTCCCGTTGTAGGTTGGACACAGTCTCGTGTAGAGTTGCCTGTAGTAGTAGTGACAATGGTAGCATTCCTAGCCCCTACATTTGCTTTTTTCTGACTATCAATTTCTTGCTCGTGAACCGCAATGGTATGGCGCATTTCCTCCAGCCTGGATAACAGTCTAGATAGTATAGTATACCCACAGGCAGCCCACCTAGCATCCTTCCCAGAGTGCGAGCTCGACACTATCCCCTCTTCCCCTATGCTAGACCTATCATAGTAATGCTGGTTCCTTCTCTTAGACCATGATAGTACCTTCGTCTTGGAACTGGTGGATCGAGAGTTATGGTGGTAGTAGGGTCTGGTAAGGTGAATGCTGGCACCTTAGGGTGTGGCTCCTGAGCACCCCAAGTTGGAGTCTTCTTATATTGTACTATATGGTAAGGCCCTGTATCCGCATCGGGAGAAGGCTTGGTCGTTTGGTCAATAGACTATCGATAACACCCTATTACCATCCCATACCATGTGTAGCCTCACCTCAATCCCATTAACTGTTGAGGATCTAGCTGAGGACATCTTATCATCATCGTCATCTGATGTATATAATAGACTCTGGGCTACCGCTCTATGATGTATCCTAAAGTCGATCCCTGCTATCCTCACCATATGTACATTCCCTTACCGATCTAATAGATCGCTCTCTTGCCGTAGAGCATCCAGTTCCGCCTCTAGAACACTATTCATCGACGTGAGACCATTCTACCAATCAAATCGCGCCGAGAGACACTTCGCACGCCCGACTAATCGATATCTTTTTGGATACTGTCTGCCTCCTATTGATATCCTCATGATGAGCTAGCAGCTCGATAGTTTATTAATTCATTGCAACGAGCTTGCTTCAACCTGGCTAGTGGTCACTACTGCTCGGCGATTGCATAATACCTCTGTATGTGGTTATATATGTAGTGGATCAGTGACCACCTTATAAAGGCTTTTAGCTGTGCTTAGGTTACTGCTCTCATTGCTGCGAGTATCATCCTTCACATCTTCCTAGTTTTACTAAGCTACTCGTTCTCGTTATGTCCTCTGCCGAAGGCACCATCAAAGTAAAGCAGGGCTTAGCCCAGATGCTGAAGGGTGGTGTTATTATGGACGTCATGACCGTCGAGCAAGCTAAGATTGCTGAGGCCGCTGGTACGTTGGCCGAGATGCACATCCCTAGTATTAGATAGTCTCATCACTTCATCGTCAGGTGCCGTAGCTGTTATGGCACTCGAGCGTATCCCTGCTGATATCCGTGCGGATGGTGGTGTTGCTAGGATGTCGGATCCCAAGATGATCAAGGAGGTCATGGATGCTGTTTCCATCCCTGTTATGGCTAAATGCCGTATTGGCCACTTTGTTGAGGCTCAGGTAACTTCAATACTCCATCGTGGGTGCATGCCGTAAGGTGGGGTTCCTGTCAGGTCCTGGAGGCTGTTGGTGTTGATTATATTGACGAATCCGAGGTCCTCACTGTTGCCGATGAGGATAACCATATCAACAAGATGAAGTGATCCCATACTCTTTAGTATCGTCACTATGCCGGTCCATCAGGTTCAAGGTCCCCTTCGTATGTGGATGCCGTAACCTCGGTGAAGCTCTCCGTCGCATTGCTGAGGGTGCCAGCATGATACGAACTAAGGGCGAGGCTGGCACTGGTACTAGACATTAATCTACGCAGGTTGGTTTATTCTGATACTCTTAGGTAATGTCGTCGAGGCTGTTCGCCACATGCGTACTGTGAATAGGGAGATCCGCATCCTCCAATCTCTGGAGGATGATGAGGTCTTCACCTTCGCCAAACAGATTGGTGCTCCTCTTTCCCTTATCGAGGAGACTCGAAGGCTTGGTCGCTTGCCTGTGGTTAACTTCGCTGCTGGTGGTGTTGCCACTCCTGCTGATGCTGCTCTCTGCATGCAGCTCGGTGTCGATGGTGTATTCGTTGGCTCTGGTATCTTCAAGTCAGACAACCCGGAGAAGCGCGCTCATGCTATAGTCCAGGCCGTTACTCACTTCAAGGACCCCAAGGTGAGTGGCTGCATAATGATGGATAGTTATCATAAGTGCATCTCTGTAGATCGTTGCTGAGGTGTCCGAGGACCTTGGTAAGCCTATGACTGGCATCAACTGTGATGAACTGAAGGTCCGCTTCGCCGAGCGTGAGGGTGGTAACATGCCTGCTACTACCAATGACAAGAAGGATAGGTCCGTCATCAAGGGTAGCAAAGACTATGAGCATGGGTAGCGAGAGTGGTACGTAGTATTGTCTTAGGCACTTCCCTTGCTGAGGTTGAGTAACAATCATAAGGCTTAGAGTTATTCAACAATCCGACCTGGAAGTGCTGTTTCTCGGTTTATTCTACATAGGTCATTTAGTTCATCTGGTCAATGCTATGTGGGGGATGTGGTAGGCCGTCCTGGTGGCATGATGGCGTACTAGGGCACTATCATCCAGGTTTGCACTGTCATAGGGGGAGCCTAGGGTGACCGAAGCACGGTCCGAAGAAAGGTTTGTCTAGGTCAACTCCTTCAGGCTCTCCTCAGCACATATAATAGCCGATCGTTTATTGATAAACATGGTCCGATCAATGATCGTTACGCTTGGCTAGTCGTGTGTAAAGAGCCAACTTAAAGAAATTAGGAGTAGGTTACTTAGTAAGTGCGGATTGGAACTGAGTTGAATGGTAGCAGGGCGATAAATCCTGAGGTTCTCATCTGTACCAGGAGAAGTTGCCAGTCAGCCCATTCGTAATCGTGGGAGCAACTGACGTATAATCTCTTACAGATTCCGGTTCGGGCACCAAGTAGTTGAGTGATGACGTAGAGATCCTTCCATCAGTCCTGCCATTGGATGCCTCATTCTCGCTCTCAAGACGTAGAACTGCATCCATGTTGCTACTCGCAGGTCGCCTGTCTTCTCATTGTG